TTTTCGGATCCGTACGTCAAATTACATCTGCTACCAGGCAATGCAAAAGCCACAAAACTAACATCAAGGACGATCGAGAAAACCTTGAATCCTGAATGGAACGAAGAACTTCATTACTATGGGATCACAGAGTCTGACAAACAGAAGAAAACGCTGTACTGTTAAATCAACACGATTTCGAATTTTTACTTTTGTGTAAGTGTGAACTTTGCAGACGGATTACGGTACTGGATCGTGATCGTATCGGTTCGGATTTTCTTGGCGAGACTCGAATTGCCTTGAGAAAACTGCCTATGAACACACTGAAGAAGTACAACCTCTATCTCGAGCATGCCATACCGGTAAGTTTTGCTTTACGAACTTTCACAAAATATCTGTTCCTAAGTGGGGAAGAGGATTCAGACTTAGGATGAACCTATGTTACTCTGTAATAGGGCGAAGGTGGTGTAGTGGCAAGTATGCACCTTTACAGACACATGGTTCGTGACGAATCCTGGCTTGATACTGACTTTGGCCAACCGAAGCTTTCATCCCCTTAGGATCTGATGATTGGTTCCAGATTCGTTTGGGAAGATGAAGCTCAAAATTATACATTGGCTGACCACAGCAAGCCTTTGTATGCCCCAATTTGCATTCAATACGCCCTGAATGGAAGTGGAATTCTGGGTATAACCCGAAAACGGGCTTAGTTAAAGCCCCAAGACTTCTAGAACACATTTGAGAGGCTATGACCCATTTATTCTATATGCAAGGAGTAATATTCAGAAATATACTTTCTTGTTGAATCTTCTAAACCTCCACAGGGTCCCTTAGAAAACTTCTGTGGCATCACTGAACACACAAATATAGAAATTCAAACTTTGTTGAAGATTTCGCTGGTTGTAATCATAGAGATATCATAATGATCTTCATTCTTGGAGATAATGTACTGTTCAGATTCAACAACCTCGCCAGGAAACCGACGTGATACGTGGCAAACTTCTGCTTGCGCTACAGTATAATATTCAACAAGGTAAACATTTTATTATTACTATATGGCTAAGTTGTTAACGGGCAAAAGACACCACGCGATGTCGCGCTATAACCGCGAACATCGCGCGCGAAGCGCGTTTTTCTGCGAGTCTTTGGCTTCCACCTTCATGCCTGCTTTTGCAAAAACAACTTTGCATTATGTCGAAGGACATGGCGCTTTGACATTTCCGAAAAAACTTCCGCACGGTCCTAGTGAACGTGCCTCCCAGTTATCACCCACTGTTTAAAATTTCATGGTAGCCAGACCTTTTACGTCTAATTATTCATAGATCTCAAGTAGCTATTTTTTAGGCTCACTATTTGTGACTATTAAACGTTGTGCAGAATTAATAGGAATGGATTCAACAGGATTTTCTGATCCCTATTGCAAAGTGTAAGTTTTGTTTTACAAGCCTTTTTTCATA